ACGCGCAGCAGACAAGCGCGTGCACGACAAAAAGCAAAGAATATTGAAAGTTAAATTGCAGTAGAAAACACACGGACTGTACTGCACGTAAAAATATTGAAACCGATTAAAAAGAAAGGCAAGGAAAATAATGATCCATTTAATATAAAAATACAATTTTATAGAATTAATACAAGGCATTTTGTTGTACTTACTCTTTTCCCAGCATGGCTTTAACACAAGAGGTTTTCCCGGAACCCTCTTGACCAAGAAACATCAGTCTTGAATTAACAATTGTTATTTCACCGTTTTTAAGTGCATCTTTGAAAGCTTTTACGGCATCGGGACCCCTGGCTAAAATTTCTGATGGAGTTGATAGTTCTAATTTATATACAAACATAACAACAATTTTTATTATTTTTTTTTAAATTATATTTTTTATTATTTACGATGAAATAAACCGTTTTACGATAATCAAAATACAATGGAAATAATACATTAATTGTGTAGAATTTCAAATTAAAAAAATAAATGTCAAACGTAATACAGGTGTATGATAAGTGCTGTTTCAAATAGAGTTTGAAGATTTGATTCCACAGATATTTAATAAGTCAATCAACGTACTTTCAAGTAATTCTTTTAAATCTTGTTTCTTTTCACTTCTCGTGGCTTTTTCGTATTCTTTACATTCGTTTTCATCATACAAATCAAGAGGCGTCTTTCCATCCTGCAATAACAGACACGAGCACGCGATGATTCATTTCATTGCAAGACAATTAAAAACCAAATAAAAAGAAAGCAGTGATATATTTTAGTTAAATACTCAAAGATGATAATAAAACTAATATATCTAACGAACACTCGACAATGTTATCATCACGACATTATAATTATGTTGTAAATTACCATCCAATTAATTTATAATAAACATTATTAAACTCATACTTCTAAAACTTTTTAAAAATCAACATTATTACTCGTATGATTTTTTTTGTTTTCGATTTAATTTTGTTTGAATTTATATTTATTATGTCGGTTTTAATTAGTAAAAATGTTTTTAGTAGTTTAATATACAGTTGTTGTATTAAGGTCATTGACTGATATTCTTTTGATGCATTTCATTTTTCTGTACATTACATTATTTTTTATTGTCACCGATGCACCAAATGTGATCATTATAATTGTGACTTCCTTGCGTTGCTCGTGCCTCAGAAACGGATTCTGTAGACACCAATGTAGTGGTGTGCGTCCAAACTGCAATGAAATGATAATCAACGTCAAGTTTGTTGAACACGCACAACACAAGAATATAAATTAACAAATATTACGAAAACGTAAAAGTACCTGAAATAATTTATAACTACCATAATTTATTAACGCCTACCGGTAATAATAGTGATACTTCAGTAATATTATAATAATCATAATAATAATATTGATGATAATAATAATAATTTTGATAATAATTATTATTCATATTGTTAATGATAATTAAAAAAAACCCCAATAATATGGCAATGCAAGAATGAAGTAGGTACCTGAATTAATGATGATGGTAATAAGTATTATGAAATTAATAATTATAACATAATACAGCACCTGTACTGTATTAATATTAATGGTAATAATATTGACAAAAATGTAGTAATGGATTGTGGTTTATTTTTGTTGTATTAATAAAACAAATAATAACGGTCAAGGTAGTCTCCCCTATTGAGCGGCAATATTTCTCAACAAGTTGTAAATAAAAAATCACATCTCAGTATTATAACCAAGAATATTACTAAATTAGAACGTGATGTATTGAATGTGTTTGTGAGTGAATTAATGTTAATTTGTTAGCAATGAATAAAGTGTTGTTTTCTTCTACTGTACTCACGTAGCCGTCTTGCGTGTTAATGTTCTTGGTGGTTTTTTCCAACACGCGTCTCATTGCTGACACGCGTGCGTAGAACGCCAAGAAATGGAGAATAGTGTAACCAGCAGAACGCTACAAGACAAACGTAGAATATGATGAGAAAGAAATAATAAACAACAACAAGAAACTA